GCAAATTAATCAAACTTCATGAAATAACCTAATGATCATCATGCAACAGTATGTGACTTCCATTCAATTACAAAGCTTAAATAGGAAGTTATTTTTCTTGAATATCTTGAGTATCTTTAACTTGGATATATGTTCTAGTTATATACATGTTTTCAGCTATTTTGTATATTTGTATATAGTTATATACAAGTTTTCTGTGGCATCTCTTCTTGCATAATTTAGGAAATAAGGCAGTGTTACAAAGAGTTTCTTTAAAGTACTTGTTTGTTATCAGTGGACAATTATTAGCTGGTAACTTGGTATAAACACCTCACAATAACTCATTTTTCTATGTATATGTTTAGTAATTCAATTATTTTTAAAATATTTCTATATTATTTTATGTTACCGTATGCTCTTCCTCATGATTTTTACAGAAAAACAAAACAAGATTTTTACAAAAATATCAGAAAACACAGAAAAGTTAATGTAAAAAAAAAAAGAATTTACAATAGTACAACTCTCCAACAGATAAATTTTAACTTCCATATTCATCCATTGTATCCTGAAGTATATTTTAGCTACATTTGGTTCAAATTTTTTTCTCAGTAACGTTCTTATCATTTCAAAAATAGCACAAATAAAACATTTTAAGTTTGTAATATAAAAGACTGTTTCATATGTTATAGGGAAGAGAATATCAGAATTCACTGTCACATTAAAACACAAAACAATCTATCAAGGAAACTTAAATTGTAATACACATCACAATGAGAATTGGATTTGACTCTTCAAAACTCCTTGAAAGATGACATATGATTATTTTGTGCCACAGGATCTACTAGTAATCTTTCTCCTTTCCTCATTTTCTTTTTTATTTTATTTTATTTTTTTAGCTCTCTGAATGTCTCAAAAGTTAACAAAATTTTAAGTGTCATCCCTGTTCTACTCCACCTTCACCGGAGGACAGGCAGGAGCAAGAAGAGACACTGAAATTCCTATCACACAAGTGTGTACTTTCAGTATCTTGGATAAAAAGATTAATGAAGAAAACACTTGCAAGTACTGAGCTGGTGAGCAGCGCTTTGGTAATGATCTATCCTACTCCTATCCACGTTGTTATGATAATAAATAATGTGACTCAATGCCCATTGCCTTTCTCAAACAAAACTGGTTTAAATACATTGGTTAAAACAAAAGTTTATGGAATAAATCTTGAATCAGAGCTTAAAAATAATATTAATCTTTAAAATAACTTCTGGTGATCTCAAATAATGTGTTTAAATAGATAACTAATTTTTATTTCCATCATTTAAACCTGGAATCCTTTAACTCAGTTCAGTGATTTAATTTACTGTCTAATAAGTTTATTGAGTTCAAAGGCCTGGCCTCAATTTTCATTGATTGCCTAACCATCTTTTCTTCTATGAAGACATTTTCAGATAATTTTTCTAAGTTGTCTGCAGCAAAAACTTAGAAAAAATATATATGAACAAAATGAAACCCAGTCATGAATAAAAAGTTGGACTATGTGCCTAAATTCTTAAAAAGTAACAAAATACAAACACAAGCCTGATTCAAAAATACAAAGCTAAATCACATATATTTTACGGGAAGAGCAGACTTTCTCTTATTAACTGTAAAGTTACTTGCACATGAATCTTTCTGCTTCAAGAGATTCCGAGGTCAGAGGACAGAGGGACAAAGGGAAGATTCTGTGGTAAGTTCCTGGACATGTTATGGGGGGGTGAAATGTCAGGTGAGAGGTAAGTTCCTGGACATGTTATGGGGGGGTGGGGGGGGTGAAATGTCAGGTGAGAGGTAAGTTCCTGGACATGTTATAGGGGGGTGGGGGGGGTGAAATGTCAGGTGAGAAACCAGTATCAGGTATGGTCACCAAGCAGTGGGCCCAGATTTGACCAAGACAGAGGATAAAACAGACAAAATAGCTCAAGCCCTAGCTCAGCTATTCCCTTGCTCTGGGCCCCGTGCCAATCCCTGCACCTTCCCACACAAGACGCAGGGCGCAGCTGCCTCCTCAGTTTGCTGTGAGGACTGGATGAGGTGTCCCAAGCAGAGACCTGTCATAGTTCCTTGCAAGCAGAAAGAGTGATGTTAATAAATCGCTGTCATGTGCTGTGCTGCTTAAGCTTACTATTCAATTTTTGTGTGTTCATTCTTCAGATTTTTCTCTCCCTATCTCAATTTTTTTCATTCCTTTCCCCTACTCCTTCATCCCGTTTTCTATTTTTCTTTTCCTTCTCACCCCATCCTCTTTTTCTCGCTCTGACTCTCTAACCCTATTCAATTCCCCTTTCTTTTGCTTCCTTTTACTTACTTTTAGTTTCTCTTTCTTTCTAGATTCATCACTGCGAGCAAAAAGTCTATAAAATATAGTTTGGGATTTAAGAAACATTGAAAATTTGTGTAAGGCCAACTAATACACTGTTATTAATTTTTCTTTTTCTTGTTGCACATTAATTTATTTAGCAAATAATCACTAAATCCATTCCATTCACAAAACACAATGGCCCAGAGCACCTGAAGTGCCCCCAGTAAAATAATCTTGCTGGTGAGACAAATCAACTACACGTGGAACATGGTGAGACAAATCAACCACATATGGAAAACCAAAAAAACAGTATATAAAAACAATCAAATAGATGTCATAATGCCACATGTAATTGTCAAATATAAGTCAGTCCTAGGTAGGAGTGCAGAGGAGGGAAAATGACTATGGGTGGCAGTAATGAACCAATATCTTTCACAGAAAACATAAGCACTAAAATCAGGGACACTGAGAGGTTTTCATTTCCGTGGTTTATTGTTGACACTATTGAGTAGGTTAAGAAAACACATTAGTTTAAAAATGTTAGAGATGTGCTGGCTCTCTACAGAAGCTAGGGCTTTTATCATAAAATATTTCTACATGTTTCCATTTACTGGCAATTGTTTCTCTTTTCACCACACTCACACATCCACATTACCACATCACTCAGGCTCTGTAGGATAATCATGTTGAAAACATTTTACATCATAAAAGCCCTGCCAAGAGATCCCAAAACATCTGGATTAAAAAGTGAAAGCTTCAATCACTCAAGTCTTTTATTTTATGGGATGTTAGATTATGACTTGAGCAAATCATGAAAGGATTAAGTACTATATAAATGTGAAGAGACCACAAAAACATTTATATTTATTTGTTTGGTAGGTAATTAATGCAGAGTTATGAGCCAGAGTAAACACAATAAGTGATTATGATTGAGTATAGTTCTTTGAACATCACATATATACTCTTTAAGGGTAAAACGGCAGTTGGCCTTTCTCTCAGGTCTTAATATGCTTATGTGCTTTTGAATTTAGAGAAACTCAAACAACATGTTCAAATAAATTAAAAATCTTTGAAAATACTCAAAGCAGTAACATGGTTAAACATTTATTATCTTAATAAAAGTATCAATACAAGAAGTAATGAACATGACAAGCAAGTAACCACTATGTTTAAAAATAATTTAACATCAAACAATCTATATCCATAAAATAGCATAATCACAGCTGATAGTATGGTTTAAAAATGAAAAGTATCCATGTATTTTATCTCTGTTTAGATCCATATTGTTGGCTAAGAAACTGAATCACAGTCCCCGTGGCAATAATGTCAGAGAGTCAACCTGAACTTGGCAGATTTCCACACCAGGAGTTATGGTTTTATTCAGTGACTCCTACCAATGCTCTGCTCCACAGAACTCTGAGGCTAATCAAAGTCGATTGTTGGACTTGCCACCACACCAAAACTTACTCTGCACAAGCACTCCCGAGACAGCTTGATGTGTAAAACTACTCTGAACAGACTTATATAGGTAAAGAAGAAAAGTCACAATGAAGGCAGAAAGAAACCAAATCACCATGTTCATGCTATTCTTTTTCCCCAAAGAAAAAAAACCTGGAAAGCATTTAGGATCTCTTTGTTTCTAATCCTTTCTGTAACCTCTAACTGAATAATTAGGTGCATATTGACCTAAAAATACAAATACATTGCTATTTCCAATGTTTAAATATTTGAGGCATAAAACATAGAGACTCCACATATTTATATTTTTAAATCTTAACTTAGAATGCACTATTACCAACTACTATCATCAACAGTAACTTTAAAGGTTTATCTCTGGTGGAACAATATGGAATGATGGTACAAACAACAAACTGTATTAAAACAAAATCTGAATACTAGGAAGCCCTCGTAGTTTTAAGAGTAAAACTGTGAAGAAACAATACGGTTCAAACGCTGCAGTGCTATGTACATAGCTTTGTTTACATTGATGCGTTATGCTTCATAACAATGTCTTCTGAGATAGACAACAAAACTGACACGAATTATTAAAATATCCTTGCCTTTGTTTCTGAATGTCTACCTTGCTAAAAATATTTATAACATTCTTGATCAAAAGTAAGTGACTTAGTAACTATAGTTTCAAAACATTCATGTGTGCTAATATTTAAAAGCATAATTAATACTTTTAACATTATTGGCATTTTTTTCAAAAACCCTGTTTGGAAGAAAGCAACCTTGACTTTTATAACCTACGAATTCAGAGTTACATGTCAGAGAGAACAGAAGAATTCCCGGTGTCAAAACTACGAACAATTAAATTACACCACAAGGACTTTCCACAACCCCAACTCTTGATTCTAACCATGACAGTGTTGGAAAATGTGTAAGGGTAAACACACACACCCCACTCCAACACATATACAGCACAAGACACATGTAAAATTTTTCATAGTTAAAAGTAACCTAAATTATACACTCCTGGGAAGGCTAAGCTAAACTGCATTTTCTTGACGTGATTTTTGTGCAGAAAATTTTTGAACCCCCTGAACTGCTCTATTCCACCCTCTATGCCAAGAATGGTTAAGTTCTGTCATCTTTTCTTGTGCTGGAATAGGCTTCACTGGTCTGGCAAACACTTTTTGGAGGGCAAAAACAGGCTCTGAGACATAAAGCTTCTCCCACTACTCACTTTTGATTTCTGTACGCTTGATAGATGGTTGCCAGGTTCCCGGGATGAGACCTGAGAAGGAGGCACAGAATTGCTAGGGGTTTCCACTAAAAAGACCAGCACCGCAGGCAGCACTAATCCTGCACCTGTGATGTGTTATTCAGCAGTTAAGAAATGCAGTCCAGACTGTGGTTGCCTAATACAGCTCAGCTGTTTTTTCAGTCCTCCCTTTGATTATAAACTGGCAAGAGAGATCATTCCAGTCAGGCATTGAGCTATGCTCAGGATACATGGCATATGACAGTGGAAAGGTAAAAGAGAAAGGAAACCTTAGAATCAAAAAAAATAAATAAAAAGAAAGAAAAGAAAAAAAGTCACTGACCACAGTGTATTACATATCATTTCCAGATGGTGAAAAGCTGCCTCTGATTATAAGCAAGGCAGAAAAATACAGGACATTTAAATATCTAGAAATCTATTTTTGATATTTCCCTTCTGCCATTCCGAATGGTGCTTAAATGTGCAATTCTTAAGTTTATTTTAAAATAAGCACAACTTCACAAACTGATCAGCTACGTAAACATTTTTACATCTTTCTTTAAAGAGGTTTACCAAACCTAGAAGTCAAAGTCCTCTTATAGTTTGGAACCTTTCAAAATGTTGGGAAACCTAAAAACCAAATGACTGCCATGAATTTTTTCTTTTTATTAAATCCACCATATCGTTTGACTTATTAACATTTTTGATATAAAGTCTGTATTTGAGGCATAACTATCCATTCACCATGTATGGCTAAACCAGCATAAAATATTTATTTTACCCAGCATAAAATTACTAGCAAGTCCAAACTGATTTAAGAGACACATATCATTCACAAGGCTGTCTACATGGCACTGTGATTTCACAGAGATGAAGAAAAAATGGCCATGATGCTCAGAAGCCATAAAATCTAATAGTGGACAGTGGAACAGCAGTTACTTTCTGTTGTTGTCCTTGTTCTTTAGTCATAAAAGGGCTGCTGACCATTCCCTCACACCAACGCCTGCACTCCATTTCCTTTTACACTCTATATAAGCACAAAACCATCTGGCCCCCAGGCTAGTGTCTGTGCCATTTTAAATAAATAATCTAAAACCTTAGCCCAAAAAAACAGATACTCTTTCTTAATAGCAGATGGTTAAAAAATAAAAACAAAAAATTCATTTATAGGCACAAAAAAGAGATGAAGAAAATATAGCCATTTCAAAAAAAATTAAAATTTAAATATATACATTAAAGAAAATGTTTAATGTTTTATTTTTTTCACTGACTACATACTAATTACCTGTGAAGCCAAGCAGTTTACAAAAAATATTAGAAAAACTCCCTATGATATATGTTAGGAACAATAGAGTAAAAAAAAAAAATGCCTGTGTCCATAAAAACATTCTCTCTAATCAGAATTTAACAAGTCATAAGACTTATATTCAGACTTTGGGGTTAGAGATAATACTGCATTTAGAGTTCCAAGTAACACTCTCAGGCCAGCTGAAGGAGGACCAAAATTAGGAGGTATGCCACAACATGTTATATTCACCTTCTCCTGACTATTCCCATAATCCAGTTTGTGCATCCGAAATAAAACAAGATGGTAGACTTGGGTCCTGGGTAGGTATATGACTAGCAACATACAGACTTTTGATATTTTAAGATGAGAAAAATTTTTCTTCTGAATTAATTGGCCAGTAAAATAAGGCTGAGATTTTGAACCACATCTGTTCTGTTTGATTTATAGGAATAAGGTTGCCAAAGGAAAATCTTGTTGACTTTTGGGCAGAAACACTGAGGAAAGATCTGAACTGAGGCTATGTTATTATAATGATTGTGTTATCTTAAATCTGAGTATGGCACACATTGGAACATTCTGGCCTGATACTGCTCAAGCTGTCCCTCTTTTGATAAACAAATGGCTTCAGTTTTCAAAACATTCTCCAAAAACAATTTTATTATTTTTAATTTTTAATTGTATAAAGCCTAGTAGACTCAGTGGCCCAGACTTTGAAAAGTGCACCTTTAAATTTGCTTCCTTTGTATTTCTTTATCCAATTTGTATCTCCTCATTTATGCTAATAATATACATACCCACACACTATATTCTAAGGCCAAAATGCTTCCTTCCTCCTCCTTCAAATAGTTATCAGTATGGGGTCTCATGACACACAAACAGCCAAAAAAGAACAAAAAAACTTGAATCCAAGGAGGCTACAGGAAAAATAATTACCTCTCATAAACTCTTTCTTCGGATAATTCTGTCTTTTAAATCACGTCGACATAAGGTATGTGTGTGTGTTATATTTCTTGCCCTGAAATATTTTGATAAGCCGGGTATATGATTTTAAAGTTCAGAACCAGTATAAGAAGGTAAGAAATCTATACCTGCTTATGTTCTATTTAAATCATCGAAGTGCTCCCCAAGATGATTGATACTAGTGTGGGAGCAAAGGACAGTGGCTCTCTTAATTAGATAGTTTAGTTAGAAAGTTGTCCACATTCACATAGAGCATATGAGATCAAACAAAATATTTTACCAAAATGTAAGAGTTGATATTTCAGCTATTAAGAAACCGTTCTCTATGTTTACCTACAGAATGTCCTATTCTCCACCTAAAAACCCAGAAAATAATTCAGTAGAGAAGGCAAGACTTCTTATGATCTAATGAGTTGGAGATTGGTAAAACTTATCAACTCTAACAATTATGGTCATCAGACCTGTTGATCCTCACTAGGAGCAAAGTCTCATAGTGGTTCATTGTTTTGTTTTGTCTTTTCCCTAAGGAAAAAGTATGATGATCTTTCAGAATGAATAGGCCCCACTTACGATAAATGATTACTTAATTAAAGTTATTTCTTTTCTTTCCATCTTTCTTGGCGGACAAAAAATATTTGCTTTCATCACTAAAACCACAGTAGCTACTTGATAGTAATGTGAAAATTTGCTGGTGACTCCCATTCTCTATCATCAAGTCAAATAGCCTGACCAGAAAAGTATTAAACTTGTGCTAATTATTAATTAGATAGAGGATCTGAAATAAAACACATCCCTCTAACAGCAACCTCCTAAAATAGTTTCACCCCAGCCTTTGGAATACAGCACTTTGTGCATGCTAAAATTGTGGTAAAGGTAACATTGCTCTTCCAATTTCATACCAATAAGGGGGAAAGAAAGCCTTACCCAATGGGCGCCATCCCAAAGAGTCTACCCAGCCCCAACTGTGCCAGGCTCTTGCCTTTGTGGAGTTCAGTGTCTCCTCACTCCCAAGAAAGTCTAAGCAGAGAGATCATTAGTTATGACATGTAGACGCTAGCAGATAATGTTGACTCACTTCAGGAACTATTAAACTATAAACAGTGTGCTGAAAGCCATTTATCTGCATTTTAGGATAAACAGCAGAAGCTACTCAATTAAATAGACTGCAACGAATAAGCTGCTGAGGCCAAATGAAGTGAGGCTTAATTTTGAGAAGAAAAACCTGTGAATTTAATAAAAATCAATCCAGGATCCCATTTTATTTTATACTATAAATATAAAAGATATAGTTATAACATATTTTAAAAGGCCAACTGATTCAGTTACAAAAGTTATTGCAGTTTCGTTCCAGTTCGAAGTAAATTTACTGATACTCGATAGATATTTTCCCTTAAGTGACAGCATTTATGGTAATACTCATGTTGAACAAATGTATGTTTATTAAGGAAGCGCTTTACCTATCACTATATAAAAGGGAAAGCTGAATTAGGTCAGTTTTGTCAGCAGTCTCCCTACTCACAAGCAATTTAACTATTTGGAGAGAGAGTTTCTAAATGACTCTTCCTGAGGAAAAGAAACACAACCGGAGTGCTATTTTAAATTTATTTATATTTTTATGTAAATAAATATACATATTTCTACCTCCAGCATGTTAAAATGCTTCAAGACCCTAATCTATCATGGAACCTTGGATTCCACAGTTGCCGAGGACAGCAAATAAATCAAGGCCCTTACTGCAAGTACCATACACAGGTAAAACGCTGCATTTAGAACTTATTTTTCCTACTTGTCAGAACACAAATCAAAATCTGCTCTCTTTCACACTCCCAGATGTCAGAAGCTTTTCAAAACAATTCTGAGGTCAGGGAAGAGAACACACAGGTGTGTGTTATGTCAACTTAGAAAGCAACCGAAGGTTAGCCTGGCATCTGATCCCTCCACCAACACATTCTTGTGGGCATTACAAACACTCCCTGAAGGAATACTACACTAAAGCTGACTAATTTTAAAAAACATCCCAAATCTCATTAGATCTATTCCTTAGCAGTATTGTTCAAAAGCATCTCTGCTAGTAACAGCAAACTCTCCACCACCTCTTAGCGAACCTTAATCTTTTCTCCAATATCACTTCTTCTGTTCTACTTTCACTGACAATACAACAGGTACAGGAACAATAAAATGCTCAACATCAACACACATAAGTTTCCGTCACATCATGAAAACTATGACAACCCACAAAAAACTTCAATGTTAGGATATCAGTGACAAATGCTTAAGAGTAACTGGTTCACATGAATGGCCCCTGGGCCTTGGGAAAACCATTCTATATTTTGACTGTTGGATGTAACCAGCCTGAAACAGAAAGATGGCAGTAGTATTTCAGATCTGAAGCCACCAGTGCTTATGCTAAAAAGCCTCTATTCAACGCAAACAGCAACCTAAACAGGACACGTTCTTCATTTTAATAAAAGAAGTGATCAGAAGAATATTCTTGCCATTGAATGACTAGGTTCCAATCGAGATTGGAAAAATTCTGCCTGCCAGTAAAATGACCCAATCGTCACAGATTTCTGATTATGTTTATTAATGCTCCAGAATAATCACATCAATTTTGGCCTTAATAATTCACTGTCAATCATATTAACAGTTATTCAAAAGATTTAGTATTTATTTAACCCTTCCTCTTCTCTCTCTCTCTCTCTCTCACACACACACACACACGTATCCAGAGTGAGGATCCACAAGTAACAAATCATTGCCACAAAACCTGTCTCCTCCTGCCAAATGTTTCTAGTATTTTCCAAACCTCAAAAATGCCTCACTACTGAATAACTCCCCCCCAGCTAAGAATGAAAAAACAGAAACATTTAAAACATTTTTTTCCCTTTTTCTTCCTCTCAGTCCATCATCAAGTGCCTAAACAGTCATGCCCTGAGCAAGA